CAATGAAAGGTACTCGTCGCTTCGGTATCAAAGGGAAGCTTGCCCCCAGATACGTGGGACCTTTCAAGATCGTCAGCAAGAGAGGTGATCTCGCCTATCAACTCGAGCTTCCTTCAAACTTTGCAAATGTTCATGATGTGTTCCATGTCTCTCAGCTCCGAAAGTGCTTCAAGACTCCTGACCGCACCGTCAACTTCGAGGACATTGAGCTCCAATAAGATCTCTCTTATCGTGAGCACCCCGTTGCTATTCTTGAAGAGACTTAACGCAAGACTCGCAACAAGTCGATCAAATTCCTCAAAGTCAGGTGGTCACACCATTCCGACCGTGAAGCTACCTGGGAACGCGAGGATCACCTCCGTTCTGAGTACCCGGCGTTCTTTCAGTCCTAGATCTCGAGACGAGATCCTTTCGTAGTGGTGGAGTGTTGTAACACCCCGGATATGATTTTCCTAATATGTAATCCAACTCTTGCCGTTTTCGGCCTTAAGTTATTTTATTTTTCTCGGGTTCGGGTTTTTTTCTCCGTGTGTTGTTATCGTTGTCATGCATCTCATATCATGTCATCATGTGCATTGCATTTGCATACGTGTTCATCTCATGCATTCGAGCATTTTCCTCGTTGTCCGTTTTGCATTCCGGCGCTCCGTTCTCCTCCGGTGGTCATTTCTACCTTTCTTTCGTGTGTGGAGATTAAACATTTCTGGATTGGACCGAGACTTGCCAAGCGGCCTTGGTTTACTACCGGTAGACCGCTTGTCAAGTTTCGTACCATTTGGACTTCGTTTGATGCTCCAACGGTGAACCGAGGGACCGAGAAGGCCTCGTGTGTGTTGCAGCCCAACACCCCTCCAATTTGGGCCAAAACCCACCAAAACCCTCTCCATCATCTAGAGCGTTCGATCATGATCGCGTGGCCGAAAACCGCACCTCATTTGGACATTCCTAGCTTCCTCTACCTCTATATAAAGACCACCCTCCGAAATTCTCGTTCTCCCCCCTCCAAAATCCGGATCCAGATCTGAGAATCCCGCCTCGGTTGACTTTTCGCCCCGAAACCCTAACTATTTTGCTATGTTCGTCATGCCGTAACTTTGCACTCGTAGCTCCGTTTTGGGCATATAGCATATCAAAATATTCGTCCCAGAGAGCACATCATTTCATCTCATTGTATCATTTTCATTTGAGTTCATCTTGATGCCCGAAATGCTGTTGGAAGAGTGCTATTTGAGATAATTGTCAGATCTGCTGCTCCAATTAGATATTTGTCATTTTTGCCATGATTATTGTGTGCATGATATGCCCTTGAGCTCTTCATGAGTTTTGTTATATGTTTTGCCATCTATCCAGAGGTGCAATCCATGTATTTTTGTGATGTGTGTGGTGACTAGCACAAGCTTGCAAAGTGGTGCATTCGCTAATGCTGATTTCAGGGACTTAGCAATTCCACCAAGTCCTTGAGCTGTTTATCTCAATATGCCATATGTTCATGTTGTTTTCTAGTGATCCGTGCCTCTTTTGAGGATGATCAGTAAGGATGTTTTGTTAATCTTGTAGTGCTCTATCCATCCATGTCTTTGTTTGCAATTATGGAGCACCCTAGCTTGAGTCAATCGAGCTCTACTTTTGCTATTTCGTGAATCTGGGCAGATTGTCTACTTGTTAGCGATTTTGCCGAGGATGTTGTAGTTGATCCGTGCATGCTATACTATTGTTCTTGCCATGTCTAGCTTGTATTTTGTGTATTCTTGATGGGTATATGCTTAGATTGTCATTACTTGCTCTGTAGTGAGTGCATCGAGCTCGTAAACATGCCTACTTGATATCTGTTTCAGCATGCTCCAGTTTTCACTAAGTTTGAGAACTGATTATGTTTTTGCCATGTTCACATGCTTGCAAATGTATTTTCTGATCCTTTTTGGCTCAAGGTCACTAAGAGACTTTTGTTAAGCTCTTTGAGTAGCTCCATGCCATGCTTTACTTTGCCATGTTTAGGTCCTGTAGCTTATAGTTTTCATGCTCCAAAGTGTGCTATCTGATCTGAAATTCCAGACAAGTGTTAATTTCACCAAGTCTGAAATCTGTTTACCAAATGCATATTTGTCATGCTTGTTTGAACCTGTTAATGGATGAATTGGCCGTAGCTCATTGTTCCTCTTTTGTTAAGCATCATGAATGGATACCTGCCATGTATTTTGTTGTCATTTTTTGGTGTTGTAGCATGTTCATCTTGTTGCATTTAGATGGATACTTGTTGTAAATCGCAGAACGTGGTCATATTTGAATTGCTTGCCATTTCCAAACCGTAACTCCGATTCCGGCGTTCTTTATATCGTTTTCAAGCGGTTTCATCTCACCTTTCCAGTGGCACACTTGGATTTCCAAGTTGAGGCCAGGTTCATGCATTCCTTGTCAAATCTTGCATATGCATCACATATTTGCATCCTGCATAGCATACCATCTTTGCATCATGTTGTTTGAGTTTGCACGTGGTTGATTGTGTCCTTGTTGCTTGTTTGTCTTGTTTGGGTAGAACCGGGAGACGAGTTCGCTAACGAGGAGCCCGTTGAGTTTGCTTTCGAGGATCCAGTCTACTCTGACAACTTTGCAGGCAAGATGATCATAGCCTCGAAATCACTACTATCTTTGCTTTGCTAGATGCTCGCTCTTTTGCTATGCCTATGCTACGATGCCTACCACTTGATTATCATGCCTCCCAAATTTCCATGTCAAACCTCTAACCCACCATGTCCTAGCAAACCGTTGATTGGCTATGTTACCGCTTTGCTCAGCCCCTCTTATAGCGTTGCTAGCTGCAGGTGAAGATTGAAGACCGTTCCTTGTTGGGACATTATTTACTTGTTGGGATATCATTATATTGCCTTGTTATCTTAATGCATCTATATACTTGGTAAAGGGTGGAAGGCTCTGCCTCTCGCCTAGTGTTTTGTTCCACTCTTGCCGCCCTAGTTTCCATCATATCGGTGTTATGTTCCCGGATTTTGCGTTCCTTACGCGGTTGGGTGATAATGGGAACCCCTTGATAGTTCGCCTTGATTAAAGCTTTTCCAGCAATGCCCAACCTTGGTTTTACCATTTGCCACCTAGCCTCTTTTTCCCTTGGGTTTCCGGAGCCCGAGGGTCATCTTATTTTAAGCCCCCCCTGGGCTAGTGCTCCTCTGAGTGTTGGTCCAAACTAGAGCCCTGTGCAGCGCCCCCTCGGGGAAACTCGAGGTTTGCTTTTAGTTGTATGGAGCGCTCATCTGAGTGTACCCTGAGAACAAGATATGTGCAGCTCCTATCGGGATTTGTCGGCACATTCGGGCGGTGTTGCTGGATTTGTTTTAACTTGTCGAAGTGTCTTGTAGAACCGGGATACCGAGTCTGATCGGAATGTCTCGGGAGAAGGTCTATTTCTTCGTTGACCGTGAGAGCTTGTCATGGTCTAAGTTGGGACTCCCCTGCAGGGATTTGAACTTTCAAAAGCCATGCCCGCGGTTATGGGCAGATGGGAATTTGTTAATGTCTGGTTGTAGATAACTTGAACCTTAACTTAATTAAAATGAATCAACAGTGTGAGTTACCGTGATGGTCTCTTCTCGGCGGAGTCCGGGAAGTGAACACGATGTTGGAGTAATGCTTGCCGCAGGTTGCTCTCTAGTTTCTCGTTCGCGCTTTGCCTCCTCTTCTCGCTCTCTTTTGCGAACAGGTTAGCCACCATATATGCTAGTCGCTTGCTGCAGCTCCACATACCTTACCTTGCCTTACCTATAAGCTTAAATAGTCTTGATCGCGAGGGTGCGAGATTGCTGAGTCCCTATGGCTCACAGATTACTTCCAAACCAGATGCAGGGCCTGATGACTCCGTTCCAGATGACGCGCTTGAGCTCAAGTGGGAGTTCGACGAGGACTCACGTCGTTACTACGTGTCTTTCCCTGATGATCAGTAGTGGTGCGCAGTTGGGGTGATCGGGACCGTGTCTTTATCTTTTATTTTGGCGCCGTAGTCGGGCCATGAGTGTTTGTTTAATGTAATGCTATTTATGTACTTTGATTGACGTGGCGAGTGTAAGCCAACTATGTATCTCGCCTTTTATTATCTATATTACATGGGATGTTGTGAAGACTGCCTAACTTGCGACATTGCTTTCAACGCGGTTATGCCTCTAAGTCGTGCCTCGACACGTAGGAGATATAGCCGCATCGAGGGCGTTACAAACAAGTACATCTTCGCCAACCGCTCCGGGCTAGGCTAAAACTTGGGTTTCTACCTAGAGATCACAAGAACAAAATGCCCCGCCCAAGGGGAGGGGGGCGAAGGGCCTCCACAACGACACCTCTAAGGGCACCATTGTCGTCGGCATCAATCGAGGTTGGTGCCGCTTAAGCTCATCAACCTCATCAATCGAGTTGCTTCAGTCTCTACGCGTCGCTGGATACGGCTACTGCTACGCACCCAGTGAACCTGTAACGATCTTTCCACTTTTGTGGCGCTTGAATGTACAATTTTTCAGGTGGCCTTTGCCGTTCCATATAAACTTTCACGGGGTAATGAAAGATTCTACAAATAAATAAGTTGTATTTAGACCTGCTACGCCTAATTTGAGGATAACGAGTCCAAGAACCAATGAATCACACAGAGATTCAACGCGGTACATACTTATTCAACCTAGCATCAATCAAAACTCAAAAGTATGATCAGCAGTAACATGCATCATCTTGCAGATCAAGTAGTAACCAGCTAATAAACGAGTGATCTGCCATCCTTAAAATGAAAGGAGAAAACTTCATCAGCCATTCACTAGTTAACACAAAAGCACTATCATATCACCATTGCTAGCGATTTTTTTTTAGCGGAATCGTAGGTGCTCTGCCTTTTCATTATAGGTAGGGGAAATACTGTACAGGGGTAAAAACCCAAAGAAAGCAAAGAGGAAAAGGAAAAAAAGGAAGGCTAGAGGCTGAGAAGGTCTCAGCTTAGCCATAACTGACTACAAGCACTACTCCCATGCCTCCTTAAGGAGGCAGATTTCATCATAAATAATGTTACAAAGCCGTTGAATAGGCAGGCTCTCATGTTGAAAGAGATGACGATTTCTCTCGTTCCAAAGATTCCAGGCAGTGTAAACCGAAGTGGTGCAAATCTGGAAAGCTTCTTCCTTCTTACGATGATGGGAGAACACTTTCTCCCACCATCCCACAATGGAGCTGGCCTCACGAGCATATCCAGCGACAAGCTGGTTGGTGGAGCTGAAGGAGTGCCAGACTTCTTTTGCGTAGGGACATCTGAGAATGAGGTGCATAGCTGATTCAATAACCTGGTCACAGTTGCAGCAGCTATCATGATGATCCCAGTTTCTACGAAGGAGCCGGTCAACAGTCTATAGCCGATTCTGCAAGAGCGTCCACATGAATTTTTTTACTTTGCCTTCAGCCTTGATCTTCCAAACATTAGCCAGGGCCGGGATTGGGATTCTTGTCTTGAACTGGATGTCATAAGCCGATTTGGCTGAGTAAACATTGTTGGTGGTGAGAGTCCATTCAATCAAGTCCTCATTCATGTTGTCGAGGATGTCCTGTTTAACTGCCTGCACCTTCGTCCATAAGCATAGGAATTCCTCCAATTCAGCAGCTCCGTCCATCCTGTTTAGGCCTCTCATCCATCTGTCATCATGTAGAGCATGCCTGACCGAGCTCGATTTTGAGCGAGAAAGGGCAAAGAGAGCTGGGAAACAATCTTTTGTTGCATTGCCATCAAGCCATTTATCCATCCAGAAGGATGTTTTGCTCCCGTTTCTCACGGTAATCTTTATGCAGGAGGCGAAAAGCTGACGGTCAGAGGAGTCACAGGGAATGCTAGCACCTTTCCACGGTCTGTCCGTGGGTTCCCATTCAAACCACTGCCACCTTAACCGGAGGGCTCGGCTATAGGCCTCCAAGTCCTTGATCCCGAGGCCGCCCACATCTTTAGGTGCACAAATTCGCTTCCACTTGACTAAACATTTACCACCATGAGCCTCTTCGTCAGCGTTCCAAAGGAAGTTTCTTCTAAGTTTGTCAAACTTTTTTATTGCCCATTTGCCCGGTGCAAAGGCAGTGAGGAAGTCCCAAGTACTTGCAGGGAAAAACACCATGTGTGCCCCCAAAGCATCGAAGGAGCTCTTCACTATTGATATGCTGACACTGTATGGGATAGGCCACGCATTTGGCCTCGTTCATTTTGAGCCCCAATGTTTCCAAAGGCCCGAAGAATCTGCTGGATGGCTGTGATCTCTTGCTGAACCGGATTGACAAAAATTGCAGCGTCATCAGCATAGAAACTAGATCCCAGCTTCGCCGTCGGGATGGTGAGCGGAGAGAGAATGCTAGCCTCATTAGCCTTAGAGAGGAGCAAATGGAGTGGTTATAAGGCAAGGATGAACAACATGGGGGAGAGGGGGTCGCCCTGTCGCAATCCACACTTATGCATGAAAGGGGGGCCCGGCCGTCCGTTCAGGAGCACTCTGGAGGAGGATGTGGCAAGGATGATGCTGATAAGATCCCTCCATCGTTGGCCAAAGCCAAAAGCCTCAAGCACCTGAAGTAAATAACTTCAGCTAACGGAATCAAAGGCCTTGGTAATATCCAACTTCAAGAACAATAGAGGGCATTTCTTTTTGTGAGCCGTCTTGATGATGTTCTGGACATAGAGGAAATTGTCATGGATGGATCTTCCCTTGATAAAAGCGCTCTGGCAGCTTGACACTAGCTTATTCAGTTCTGGTCCTAGCCTCATGGCTAGAATCTTGCCAACGATCTTAGCCACAATGTGCATCGGGCTAATAGGGCGGTAGTCAGCAGCAGTGTTGCTACCTTCTCTCTTGGGGATCAGTACAATGTTGGCGCTGTTTATGAGCTTCCATTGGTTACCTCTTAATTGGAACAGTTGATAGATGGCGGCGAATAGATCATGTTCAATAATAGGCCAAAAACGCTTGAAGAAGCTACCAATGAACCCATCCGGCCCAGGGGCTTTCTCATCATGAATATCAAAAACAGCTCGCTTTAATTCATCCTTTGAAACATTTCCATCAAGGTGCTGGAGGTCAGCTGGTTGGATGTGAAGGGCCTCCCAATTCATATGCAAGGAATTGTTCACCGTCTTTCCCATCAAAGATTTGAAATGTTGAGACAGAATGTCTTCCTTCTGGGTGTGGTCAGTAACCTCCTCGAGGTTGCGCAACAGAACTGGGATGTGATTCTTGCGCCTTCTACCATTTGCTCTGAGGTAAAACAGCTTAGTATTTGCATCACCCACCCGGATTTTTGTCAGCCTTGATCTCTGTTTCCATTTGGATCTCTCTAAAGCAGCGATTCCCAAAAGTCTGCTTTTCAGTAACCTTCTCAGCCGCCACTCGTCATCAGAGAGTTCTCTCTTTTCCATGGCAATATCCAGGTTGAAGATCACCTCATTTGCCACATTGGTTGCCAAGTTGCGTTCGACCCTATTTTGCTTATCCCATTTTCTGAGAGTAGAGGCTGTCCTTGCAAGCTTAATCTGCAGCACTCGGATTGCATCATTGGAGAGCAAAGGTTTGTTCCAGGCCGACGCAATAATATCAGCAACACCATCCATCTTGAGCCAGTGTGTCTCGAACCGGAATCCCTTGTAAGCCTGAGTCTGCATTTTCCGGAGGATTAAAGGGCAATGATCAGAAATTGCAGTGGAAGCAGGCGTGAGCTGGCATTGAGGAAAAGAACAGTCCCGGTCATTAGAGATGAGCACTCGGTCGATTCTGGTCAGCGTGGTATTTTCCCGCTCATTGGACCAAGTGAACCTTCTACCCAGGAGGGGGATATCTTTGAGCTCCAAGGTGTCAATGGTGTTTCTGAATCTGCTAAGCATTTGGAGGTTGATGTTGTTGTTTCTTTTGTCTCTGGCTCTACTAATCAGGTTAAAATCGCCAAGCACCATCCATCTACACAACATGGCCGATTTGGTGTCCATGAGCTCTTGCATGAATAATACCTTCTCAGCATCACTTTGGGGACCATAAACACCCGTTATTGACCAGATTAGACCATTTGTTCTGTCAGTTATGGTTCCAGAGACAGAAAAATCGCGCACTCCGGCAGCACACAATTCTATCTTGAAATCCGCAGTAGAGGCAATGAAGATGCCTCCTCTTGAGCCCGGGGCTGGCTTACAGATAAAATTATCAGCAAAGCGAGGGCCTAGGACCTCGAAGATGAAAGCAGCATCAATCAAATCAATCTTAATTTCTTGCAAGCAAACCACATTACAGGAAAGGTCTTGGGCAGTCCTCATGACTGATCTCCTCTTGGCTGAATTGCAAAGACCTCTAACATTCCAACTTAAGATGGCTAAATCCATAAGAAACAGAGATAACACAGGAAATCAAACGAGTGAAGCTGTTCAGGCCGTTGTAGCCAGAGCACCGGCCAACGAAGATGTCGCAGCCGCCTTGCCTGCTTCTTCTTCTTCCCAGG